ATCTTCTTGCTATACATTTATAATTATGCAATATACATACATTTTAATTTGATTCAACTGTATGCAAAGCAAATTTTATAAAAATATTGCAGCGAAATAGGCAGCGAATTATACAATTGTGCATTATACAATCGCAGTGAAATAGGATAGCGAATTATACAATTGCAGCGAAATAGGCCAGCAAATTATACAATTTAGGCGAGCGAATTATACAATTGTATATATATAGCGAATTATACAGTTTTATGTTTTCTATGGAGCGCAATTATGCAAACTTTGTTATAGCATACTAATATGAATTTTTTATTTGCTATATGTGAAAGCTGCCTTTCATTTTATTATGCAAAATATTCCTGCTATTATTTAGATTTTGTCATTTTTTTTTAAAAAAAATAATCATTGGAATATCATTTTATAGGATAACGTGAGATTCTAGTCTAATTTTAAGAGTATGTCTTTAATCATTACTGAAATGTTAGACTATCGTTTAACGATTACGATAACTTACAAGTTTTTACTATGGTTTAAATGTTATCACATAATACATAGTATTTAACGAGAAATAAAGAAAGGAATTGTTTATTAAATAATCATCAAAATAAGAATAACAGGTGATTACAATTAAGTTCATTGAGTTTTATGGTTAACTAGCTCAGGATATTTGTACAAATAGGTGTTTTCTTAACGTATGATTGTGGAATTTAACGTACTAAGAATGAGTGCGTCTTTTTAAAGTAAACGAGAGTCAACAAAATTGAATTACAATATCAAAAGTACTAAAGACACGACGATTTAAAGGGTAATATGATTTTACATATGAATGTAAAAGAGCAAATATATTGAAGAAATATAAGAAAGGAAAAATATAACTTATTCGTGAGTGTACAAATAAAAGGCAAACATGATAATTGTCCAATAAATATTTTTTTATTACTTTCTATATTTTAATTTGTTAGTTAGTTTATATTAGGCACGAAAATTAAAAAATAAATAATATTTTACATCTTGTGACTGTAAACTAAAGATATGTGGAATGTACCAAAATATTTTTTAATTTTTAAACATGTTACATAGTAAGTTAGAATTTGAAAGTTATCAAAAAAGTAAAAAAAAAAAAACCTCTCCTTTAAAACAAATTTAAAAAGAAAATATGACTACAAATGAAAATTTGGAAATATTATTTTTTACCTTTATGAAACGGGATAAAGATTCGGTAAAGTATAATTAGGTCAAGTAATATTCAATGAGTTTCGTGCAATGTGTACCATATAATTTATCTATGGTTGAGATCCATTTAAATTATATACTTATTAATTGTAATAATAAAAACAACATAGTTGTAACTTTTTAATTTTTTTAAAGCTATCAAATAATATTTTCAAGGAAAAAATTTAAGATTGACGGAAATATTCAAACTTTTTGACTTATTACCCGACAAACTTATTCAGGAGTAATGTCACACATGCTTTCTCCAAATTCTGAAGTAATCTCCAAGAATAAATCAAACTTAAAAACATAATTAAGTTCTAAATAATAATTCAACTAAAGAACATAATACATTTTTTAAAAAAAACTTAATTGGAGGTTTTCAAATAATAATTATAAAAATATATTTATTCAAATTTTTCAAATGCTAAATTCTTTGAAATTAGTATAATATGAAAAGTCCAATACAAGTACGAGGTTTGACAGATAAAAAAGTCGGAATGTCCCTATATTTCCGTTAGTCTTATTTTTTTCTTGAAAATATTAGCTAGGGTACACTTAATTTGTTTTATTTGATAGTATTAAAAAATAAAAATAAATGACGCATTTGTTGTTTTTATTTTTAAGGTGAATATATAATGTAAATGAATATACAATTTAAATCAATCTCAACTATAAATTATGATGTAATACACATATCATGAATCTATAAAGTTATTGAATATTACTTGACCTAATTATACTTGACCGGATCTTTATCCTATGAAACGTTTAGTAGAGTACACAAAAATAAGACTGAGTGTAGTGTATTAATAATTCTGAAAATATTTTTAAACCATCGTTTCGTTTTAATTTAGTATATTCAAAATTGTTTTGTCCTCAGTCATGGTTATCTATGTATATATTACTTATAAATACTACTAATATCATAATTTATCATATATTAATTATGATAAGATATATAACAAACAATATTTAGTTGCTATTGTTATATAGGTACCTGTGGCATCTGCTAAATTTGTCCTCCAATAGTGGAATCTTACCATTTTGTCAAATTACAATTTTATCGTCTACTTATTCAATTTTGCTTAAAAGTAATTTATTTTTAGTGATTTTTGAATTTTAGGCTATCTTTTTTTTTGTTTTAGAAGTGTTGGGATAAGGGAAAAAGTTTTTTAATACATAAAAAATAAAAATAAAAATATTGAATGTTTCTAACTATTGTCTAAGCTTTTGACAAAATTCCTGGAGGCAAACGTCACGAGAGGCTTCAATCAGATGTGTCTAATGGACATTCGAATCTAACAAATCTTACGTATGAACTGCCATCACTGATACACTTCTTTTCAAAAGAAAATAGTAATTTTTTTAAAATTTATCATCAATTATTTTTTTTTCTGGACTATGCCTTAAATTTTTTCTCAAAAGCAAATTTATATACACTCAAATTTGTCATATGACATAACAAGTGAACTCATGTGCTTATAAAAACATGCGACTCTTATAAAAAAGATAGAGAGAATGATTGAAAGCATCACTAAATTTAGCGTGAATTTAGAGGTGTATTTCATTTACATTGAAAGATCGCTAGTGTATTTAAATTCAGTAACCAAGTAAAGTGATGTTTTTAAGATTGTCAATAGTTTAAAAAACTAATAATATGTATCAATTTTAAGAGTTTTCTTGATAGGAGGACTGTTTGTCTATATAGATTGTTGAGAAAGTAGATAGAATCAAAATCTTATTAAGTTTAATGTTTGTTTGTCAATATTGAAAAATAAAATTTATACTCCGCCAATATTCGAATTTAAAAGAGGAAGGAAAAAGAGTGACTATAGCAAGGTGAAAAACACATATGGAAGAGCACAAGTGAATTTGGAGAGCCCAATGAGACTGCAAGAGTCCGTGAACCAATGAACAGTGGCAACATAATTCTTTTCATAATAGTAATAGTAAGGGTCATCTGGTGGTGACTAGTATGATCGTGCTTACGACAGTCTGACTTTTGAACGACTAAGCAATTACTAAGCTTTCGCTTATTTCCAACAACCAATTAGAATAAAGTGTGTTTAACCGATCCATTCCGAATCGATCGAATCGGTAAGAAAATCGTAACATGGGAAAATCACGAAAAACACGAATTATTTGAATAACCTTGAGATATTTTTTTTTACTACCCTTCAATTCTTTGTTTAATTTGGTTACAACGTGTGAGATAACATATCAGATGATTAATAATTATGATTAGGACAAGTTACACCTTTTGTGGGTGAAATACTAATTCCGTAATAATTTATCCAAGAATAAAAATTTAAAACATAATAAAAGTACTCCTTAAACCTTCGTGAATAAACAACTTAATAATTATTAGTGAGTATTTTGACAACAAATAGTTTCTACTTTAGAGATTATATTATCGACAAACTAAATAATCAAATAAAAAATAATTTCAATATAATCAATTTCATCATAACTTATCTCAACATAATTAATCTCAATATTCGAAACACACAATCTGTAACAATGATAGTAATAATACTCCATGAATAAATAATGATGGTGACATTTTTGACAAAGACACATTTTTGGAAAAGAACATTTTTATACAGTAACCAATTTGGATTTATCTCTCTCACACATACCCTTCAAACTAGTCAGGTTATCATCTCACTAAACAAAAAGACAACTACTACTTAGGTATTTTTGAAATTTGTAAGAACAAGAAATAAAAATGTACTAGCATATTCCAATTAGATAAATTTGTGTATGCATATTGATAGTGTAACCAATTTTGAGAAAGTGTACGGTAATATCGAGGAGATGAGAGGTAAATAATAGGTGTAAGATTGAGTGAAGGGTTTAAAAGTTTAATTTCATAAAGTTTAAGCGTTCATTTCACAAAATCATGATTAGAATAGTCTGGTTGACAACTCTTTAATCATAATTTTTCACATTACATGTTTATATAAAGACTACAAGATAATTCCTATATTCTATATACATATCTTTAGTTTTAGACCATAAAATTTTAAAGTCCATTTTACTTTTTTAAACTTCACGTCAAATCAAAATTAAATGAACAAATTAACATACACGACTACTATACATGGTACTAATAATGCAAAGCCTTTGTTATCGTTAGAGGAGGAGTCAAAATTTAAACTTTATGAGTTCTGAATTCTAGGATATATAACGACATCCTACAAATGAGTTCTAAATTTAAACTTTTTTAAATATATTTAATGAAGTCTTCATAATACAATTATATAATCATCTGAACAGAAAATATTAAATTCGACTGAACTCATACCATCTAGCCCCCCAAACACCACTATCTAAGCAAAACTATAAATAACTTTAACTCATGCTAACCTATATTTGTATAGCCAAAAAAAAAAGTAAGTAGGAGTAATATTTTATGATGTATTAAATGTTGATTCTGTAGTGGTATTTTATTTTAGTCAAGAGAGGGGGCCTGGTGTGTACTGTTAAAATGGAAAACAAAAGCAAGAAGTGACTCATCAGAGAGTAATTTGTACTAAGGTACTATCAGAGGGTGTCCAAAATCCAAGAAGCTTATGTAATGTTACTTTCAAGTATGCAAAAAAGAGATAAAAATATGAAGCAGGTAAAAATAAAGTCATATTCTCTCTCTCTCTATTATGAGTGTAGTGTATTTGGGTTCTGACTGATATAATGGGTCATGCATGCATGGGTCAATCACTTCCTTCCAAATATTTCCAACTTTATTTATCATTTGATTTCCATTCTTATTCCCTATTACTAGTCATTTCAAGTAACCCTAATTACTTAACACTTTCCCTATATATAAAGAACTATTTAGCTATTACTTCTTCTACATAATAAGACATGGAGACAAAAAGTACTGAAAATTGTAAAGATGAGGAGCAAAAAAATCACTACTACTACTCTAATTCTACATCACCAGGACTATTAAGCTCTCTTGAAGATGAAGAAATTAAGAGGAAAATATGTTGTCACTCTTTGTATGGTCTTTTGGTTCAAACTCACTTGGATTGTTTGAAGGTATTTTCCTCAATTACACTCATCAACAAATTAGGGTTCCTTAATTTTTAGGTTACTCAATTAGTAAAGTAAAGTCGTGTAGTGTCTTTCCGAGATAATATCTGTTAGTTGAATAAGAAGTTCGATATTGATTAATTACTTAATTAGCAGGTTTGTTTGGGGATTACTGAGATTGACAAAATTGATCAAAAAACCGAAGAAAAGTCAGCAAAATGTAACAAAGTTATCTCACACACAATGGATCATCAAACAGAATTGAACAATAAGTTCAGCTCACTCACAATGGATCAACCAGCTGAACTGGACAACTTCATGGTACTAATAAGTTTTATCTCTTCTTTTTTGCTTTATAATTCCATTTTATGGACAGTAGTAGCAGAAACAGGATTTTCATTAGTTCAACTATCTATACATACAAATAAATTGACTTTGTATACGTAGTGTGATTTTTAGAGGTCTAGACACAACTAGAAACAATTGTTTTCCCTTCCACGAATCAATGAAAAACTTGTGTTGTATAAACATGTTTTTCCCATGACCTAATTGTGTTTAAAATTAGTATATATATACTAGGTTTAAGGTATATATGTAGCTTTAATTTTTGTGTAAAAAGCTAATTCAAATGGTGTGGACAGGAAGCATATTGTGTGGCTCTAAGCAAGCTCAAAGAGGCAATGGAGGAACCTCATTTGGAGTCCATAAAGTTCATCAATCATATGTATTCTCAGCTCAGTGAACTCATGGAACTTCCTACTTCTACTTCCACTCCATCTAATTTTGGTAACATTAATTACTGCCATTTTCATTTTTTTTAAAACCAAATTTAGCACACACTTCATGATAGTAATTCATATTACTAGCTGTTGTAAATGAAGAGGAACGGATTTTGATGTAATAATCGCATACCTAGATGTACGCGTTATAAATGACAAAATCAACCGGTAAGGTTCTCAATTTGTGCGATGGAACATAATTTTTTCATCCAATCAAATCACTAGAAAAAACAAATTATCAGTGAATTAAATAGTACAAGTCAAACTTCCTTTTTTTTTTCCATATGAAACCATTATTATGTTTTCTCACCGATTTAATACAAAATATTCATATGAAAATAGCCTCTAGTTATTTTTTCAGTCAAAAAATAGTAATATTAAATTGTTAATTCTTGTAACTTAATTACATCATGTTAACTAAGTAAATTATTTTCAAAAAAAAAAATTATTTCCATAAGTACTCAGTCAAAATAAGAAATTCTGACTCTCGAAATTCAAATAATATCATATCCATATGAAGGCTAATAAGATAGTTATAAAAGTTCACAACTTGATATTTGTTCTTTTAAGAAACAAGAAACTAAAGTATCTAGCAATTGGTTCTTGTTTTTTTTTTGTTTTTTTGTAGATGGGATGAAGGCCCATGGCAACAAATGAATTGGTGGCATGAGGAAGCTAGATGATTGATAGAGCCAAGATTCTATAAGCTCATATATAATTTATCTAATTATTTATTACTAATTAAGTTACTTCATCTATATATGTTTAGCGATCTATGTATGGCTAGATTGCCACAACTCGTATGTTTTTTTTTCTTTCTATGTAGCATAATAATGTTAATAATAATGAGGAATCCCAACAGCTGGTCGAACTCATAATTAAGGGTTTGAGATGTTAATTCTGATATGATTATAAGATAAATTATGAAAGAAAGGCTTGTTGATGAATACAACTCCACCTATTAATTAATTATATATATATATATATATATATATTACGTTCGTTATAACGAGTCTCTATAATTTCACGAATGAAATTAATTGAAGATGTTAGTGTGACATTTAATATTACATTGCATAATATATTAAGTCATGTCTCATGCATGACACTCACTGCTGCATTTGCTCTAATATATTATGTGAATATTGACATTTTATGCCTCGTTACTCGAGATATTGTAGAAATGGCATAAAACTAAAGATACTTAAATTTATAAAAGACTACTCTATAGATATTGTTAATTGACTATAGATGTATCATTCTAAAGCAACCAAGTGAATACAGAACTGCTTGAGTAGTCGATCGATCGATAAATAGTTCATATTAGACATTTAATAGTATCTAATGGCAATAGTAAAATGAATACAAACAGATGAATAATTCATTGGTTTTGCTACACAGACACTTTTGTTTTTTTGCTATGATCAGGATAGTTTTGAGTATTGGATCATATCATATCCTAATATAGAAACCTAAGTCAACTTAAACAGTTGAATGGGTCACAAGTCAAAATCCACACTTTGTAACAATCAACTTGCATAAGTTGAACAATAAAATGAGTGTCGATTTTTTTTTATCATAATTTTGTTCAAAGATGGAAAGGACACTTTTCTCGGGACGGATTCAACAATTGATTGCTTGTGTGTTCACGACAATTTAACAATATTTGCTCAATAATATTAAAATATTTATCGAATATTTATGAAATATTAAACTATGAACTCAATTATTTTCATAGAGATTGACATTCTGGAACATGTAATGAGATAAGATGTAGATGATGAGTCCAATCAGATAAGTGATCATAATTGATTAGGTGTGGTTAGTCTATATAGGTAGCACAAAACCTTTTTTTTTCTTCAGTCTTGTCGGATTATGTCACCTATCCTTAATGACCTTCCTTTCATCTATTGTTTCTCTTTTGCCTTCTTACCAATAAATAATGAAAAAACTTCGTAATATGATAAACTTCAATATATATTTAAATAATATAGTTATAGTTTAACTTTTTTTATGTTATATGATTATAACTATATAATCAATAGCAAATTTAATTGTATATCAATAATTAATTTTTTTATGTTTAATATAAATACACAATAAATAGGAAAATTATTATTAAACTCATAATTATTTATGTATTCATATCTTTTCTTTCATCAATATCCTTATATTACAGACTTTTTTTTGTATTTCCCCCCCAATTCCTTCCAATGCAAGATCCTTTTGTATGATTGTATGAGTGATTTTTGTGGTTCAATTCATTATACTTATATTTATACTTATATTTGTGGTTCAATCAAATGTCAAATGTTTATATTTAATAATACTTATATACATAGATAATTGTATTGTAATATTAATAAAATGGTGATTTGTGAATACAAATATATTTGAATACATAAGTAATTTATTCAATTTGATTAGGCAATACAAGTATAGTTGGATACATTAATACTATATTTTATAAATGAATACCTAGTTAACGTCAAGCCTCAAGTATTATAGAATACTTCACAAAAATTAGATTGACGTTCTGTTGTTTTTTTTTATTTTTTATATGGTCGAATACTTACACACTTTGATACATACACATTCTATTGTGTTTCTATTTTCTTATTTAACAAGAGTGTATTCATATTATAGTATATTGGTATATTCAATTTTTTTTTGTAAACAATAGTGCATCCATTTTACAAATTGTTGTATTCATATGCTAAAATTGTACTACTTTACCTTGTTTCATACAGTAATACATTAAATTTTTATAATTACTTGTATCCTTGATATATTTATACTTTAAGTTTTATTAATAAAAATATCAGTTTGAATTCAAAGTATTCATATGCTAATTGTACAAGTAATACATTTTTCTTATTTAGTTATTGTAATTACAACTGTATTAGTGTACAAATAATAAAAAATAAAAAAAACATATGCAAAAATACAACGAGAAAAGACATAATAAACTTTTATATTCAAAATTTTATGAATATCTTTATGATTAGTATTTAGTGAATACATTGTATTTAGGAATATAAATACAACATTTTGTATTATGTGAATCAATCATATTTGCATATAATATGTAATTATTACTTGGTAATTTAATAATAAGAATTTTAGTTATTTAGGAACATAATAAATGATTGATACTTGAAAGTTATAATAACATATCATACCTTATTTAGTGCATTGTATAAATACCAATAATAACAATAAAATAAAATAAAAATTAATACAAACATGCCGCTAGAAATTGACATAAAAATATAGTCATTTTTAGTAAATAACATATTTATAGCTATTAAACTTCTATAACCCTATAGATATAATTATTTTTGTAAATTGCTCGTTAATAATCCCTGTGCCTTCTGATATACTCAAATCACGTGACAAACAAAAAATTAGGTAAAGGTGCAAGAACACTATGGCAAAGGATCTTTACTTTCTTTATTTAAAGTTTAACATTATCTATTTCATTCGAGTTTGAAATCTAGATAATTTACTATCATATCAAAATTCTATTTTCTTAATAGGTTAGTTTAGATTCTATATTATGCACTACTAACAAAACGTCCAAACCGATAAAAATCAATTTTTGATAATTTATTTTATCCTAAATATTTTTTTTTAAAAAATATTTTAATATAATAGATCGTTAAAGGTTAATTATTTTTCAGTGCAAAAATAAAAGAAACTGTAAAAAAATTGAGCTCAGTAAATAGTTATTTTAAACAACCAACCTCCTTTTTTTTAAATACTCACCTTCAATGTTTGATGTTCTTGATAGAGGGTAAGCCTCTTAAAAAAGGGGTGCATACTACATTCTAGGTGATTTTTTCTACATAGAAATGAGAAAAGAAAATTTACAAAATATATAAAAATGAGTTTAGAAGCAACTGTTATACATTTTTAATTAAAATTCTAAGAGACAAATATCTATGGACTATGCTTATTATGGGCCGGGAAAGGGAGATCAATCGAAAATATATGTAATTCTTTTCACCAAAATATGTATATACTTTAATTTACATATTTAAACATAACATATACAATCGATCTGTATAAATATTATTCTTTGAACATATTAATAATAACTAGGCTTCGGAAAGATACATACTGATTTATTAAAACATGACTCCTTTAGTGTTTCTAGTCACGTTTAAAGAGGATTTTTAATAGATAGTTATATTATAATAAATTTAATTATGCTTCACAACTATAGTTTGTATATTTAAAGGTTGTAGTTAAAGTTTAAGCTGTTTCATTTGTATAATTGAACAATTTTTATATAAACTTGAAATAATTTTGAACATTTAACAGTTACACTAATTGTACTATACAAAAGTTGTACAATTCCTAATTATACAGACATTCAAATTATACAAATTCGAGACTTCATCCCACATATATAACATTTATTGTTGATCGCGAGTGATAATTAATTAATACTATGACTCTAATAACTAATTAACTATTATTTTTTATTAACTATATAGTTTCCCGGTAATAATAGAAATCAAATGTGCTAGAAACATAAAAAGAACAGAATTGTTAAAAAAAATATAGTTGAGATACCAGTTTGAAACTATCTTAAACATAAGGGATCATTTTTGTCATTTTGTATATTATATTTACCAATATGAAGACTGAAAAGAGCCCTTATCTGTAGCAGCAGAAGAAGAGAAAGGATGATGAGTCTCTCCATTGCCTCACCTTCAGGTGTTACCTTCACTTCCAAGATGAACCTCTCTAAATCCTCCTTCCATGGCATTCAGATTCCTAAAATCATGCAGGCGCGTGCAGTAAACGCGCCGCCTCACTCTTGTTCGTCTTTGGTGGTGAAAATGGCGAAGAGGGAAGAGGAATTGAAGGAAATCAGAACTAAGACTACTGAAGAGCTTCAGGAAGAGATTGTGGACCTTAAAGGTGAGCTATTTATGCTTCGTCTTCAAAGGTCAGCTCGAAATGAGTTCAAGTCCAGCGAGTTTCTGCGAATGCGCAAAAGGGTACTCTCTCTTACCTTTGGAATTAGCAAATTCGATTGTTAAAATCATAGTAATTGTGAAGTTTTCAACAGTGTACTGTTTTTAATGTCACCTCATTTCCAATTATTAGATTTAGGTGCATATCTGTGCGAAGAATGTAACAGTTCCTAAATATGGGAACACTGCAGAGAGACCTTAGCTAGTTAGACCACACGTTGTTGAAGAGTTTTATTTGAATGGTGAATTTGAGTCTTAATTAAATCCAATTTGTGACACTTACGTTTTAGAAGGAAGTAGTAACATGGTAAGCGTTCCTTGTGTCGCGCAGCAAGTACTGAAAATAGATGGGGTGTATGATTAAGGAAGAAGAGTAAGTGCACCCTAAAAGTAAATAGGACATAGTTAAGAGGTAGGGATGTCTATACCAGAGGTGTCTGATCAATCCCATAACCGATTCTCTTTAATTGACTATACTGATTTATTCCGTATGAGCAGAAGCTACAATAGCAGCTTAACCAGCTTAAAGCGGTTTCAATGTTGCTCAAAACTTGTCTTAAATGCTTTTATCAATATGTATTATGAATCTTTCCTCTTCTTTGTTTTAGCATTATTCACATATCCGGTGCTTGTGTTGATAGACTATTTGTCTCTTATGGTTGTATGTACTTGTGTCTGTGTGTATTGCAATCATTAGTGCGCTAATAAGGTATACTTTTCCTCGCCAAGGAGTAGTCTCTTCTGAAGAGGTATAATCATGTCCATTTTCCCATTTCTCTTATTTTAGAAATTGCATGTTCCTTTTTCATGTATTTACTTCTTGGATTTATTTTACTTCACTTTGACGTGATTTACATAATGTGCTAGATTGCAAGGATGCTTACAGTTAAACGGGAGAGAGAGGTTGAAGAAGGGATTAACAAGAGGATATCCAGGAAGCTCGACCGGAAATGGAAGAAAAGCATTGTCCCTAGACCACCACCCTCTTTGAAGAAGCTACGAGAGGAGGAGGCAGCAGAAGAAGCTAAGGAATCTGCCTCCTGATTACAGACAATTAAACTAGCAGGCAAATGTTGTATTTCTTTTCTGGCCTCTCCTCTCATTTGTTTCTTCCTCATACGTATAGTTTATAACTGCTCCTGAATTTTTGTATTGAATCAACTTAATTTGCAAGTGACCATTCTTAACTATGTTCCCAGTCATTGAGGATTGTGTCAATTTTCTTCTTGTCAAAATTGTACCTAAATGGTGAAATCTGTTTCGCTTTCTGCCAAGTTCTCTTTCATTCTGTTTCGTGTCTTAACACTAGTGCTGCTATTGGTTTTCTTCAATGCAGATGTCATTCTGAATAATGAATAAGAAATCTTAAATATACTAAAATCAATAACATTTAACCAGTCTTAAAAAGACTTATTACTTGTGCTATATTGCATAGTTTAAGCCAAAGGCTCCGGTTTTGACAAGGTGATTATAGCATATAACCCAAACACCAAGACACAAAAGCATATATCTACTTTTCAACCAAAACAACCCCATCAAAGAGTGTGATCCGTTGCGGACTTTTATGTTTAACCCCGAATATGACCTGTTATACTCAGACAAGTAAAGTGAAAATATTAATCTAGTATTGCGTGTCTGACGAGTCACCAAAAATGCCTCCCAGGATTGATGATCCTTCATTTCCACCATTGTTGTCACCACCACCTATGATCCCCTGCATGAAAGTCTGACCAACCTGCTGAGCTGCACCTTCTACAAGTCCTTGTATAGCAGCATTCATCAAATTATTCCCCAAACCACTGTTTGACCCTGGAGTCTGCATATACTGGTTTGGCCTCACTTGTCCTTGAATCATAGTAGGTTGCAGGAACTGTTGCTGCGGAACTGCACTTGTACTGGCACTATGAAACAACTGGTTTGGCCTCGCTTGTCCTTGAATTTTAGGAGGTTGCAGGAACTGTTGCTGCGGAACTGCACTTGTACTAGCACTATGAAACAGCTGGTTCGGCCTCGCTTGTCCTTGAAACACTGTAGGCTGTAGGGAATGGTTGTTAGTTATTGCACCTGTGCTTGCGGCATGCATAAAATGATGTGACCTTGCTTGTGTGCCCATAATAGCCTGCTGGAATTGGTTAGTGGCCCCTGGGAATGAATGGTGGTGCTGGAGGGCAGTTGACTGTGAAGCTTCCTGCCTAGGGGCAGAAGCTAAACAATCTAAATGAACATCAAACTCACAAGCAGGACATCTATAAAGCCATTGCTTGACTCCAATCTTGCGGCATACATCACAAGAGAAGCCTTTGGCATTAGCATAAGGATTCTTGAAGGTGAGTTCAAGCGAGCATTGGTGCAGTTCGTGTGTGATTTTGAGGGGTTTAGATGCACAAATCACATGGAGATCAAACTCACAATAACTGCAATGGTAGCTGAAGCCGGTTCCATGGCGTTTACAGGCATCACAGTTGAATTGGCCACCGGGGTATTTGGACGTTGGGAGGAGGTTGAGAGAGTGGTTCGGATGAGAGGGGTGAGTAATCAGCTGTGGGAATTTAGCACAGCTTAAATGAAGAGTGAAGTTGCAAGGCCTGCATATGTACATTTGGCCTGATGGTGGAAGTCTGCATCCTGAACAAGGGCTTAGATCTTGGAGTTGGGTGCATAACTCCAATTCATGTGGATGACTAAAGTGCTTTAGGCTTGATGTTTGATCATTGTTCAATTTCACCCTTCCCATCTTCTTGCCTCTTTTCTCTTCTTTTTCCCTCTTTACTATTCTGATTTGGAGCATAAATTGTTATAAAAAGAAGGTGATTAGGGGATGAACTGTAGCTAAGACAGAGAGGCAACCAGTTGACTTTTGGAATTTATGGGATTAAGTCTATGTGCAACACGGTTTGTCTCACTGATTGGGATGTGTGCAGTAATGCAAACAGCATTGATTGGTTCTTCTTTGACCAATTCTCTTAGGATGTGTACTTCAAGTTTTCATTGTGGGGTGGCTGCTCTCTAGCCTTTTTTTTCTATCCGGTGTCCGGAGTCCATGTTGGAGCGCAACCAAACCCACTTTGCGCACTGCATGTCCCATTTGGAGGTGATGCTCCATACAAAGGGTCCAAACCCGAAACCTATAATTAAGGTCAGTTCCACAACTGCACTACAACCGGGTCGGTACTCTCTAGTTTCTAAATTAAGAATATGATACATTAAGAGCATATTCATTCATGTTCAATTTCAGATATAATGTTGTTAGAAGGAAATAAAAATAAATTGTGGGTGCAAGTATTACGGTTACCTTCCTCAAAAAATAAAATATAAAAATGAGCGAGTGTTAGACCTAGTTTAAATGTTTAATACACACCCTAACCTGAAATTCCCTCTTTCACCTGCAAATTAATTAGACGACCTATTTTAATTCCATATGACATTAAAGTATTCTGAGTTGAACCCAAAAGTCACCAAAGTGATGCAGTAGTAGGTTTGTCAAATAGTCGTGGGTTCGAGTGTAGCAAACGAATAAAGGCAGGTAAAAGAAATAAAAATCTCAATAGAAGCAACAAAAGTTTGGTAGAGTTATTTTTTCATCTTTTGAAGTCGTAGTAGATTATATAGCACATGTTTCATAAAAGATGTATGATAAAATAATTGAGGTGTGCCCAAATTAATATTATCATTGATTATAGGAGAAGTTTATTTATGATTGAGTTGAGGATCAACTTGATCGCCAGTGGCTGGAATATTCAATACACAGTAGTTGAGTTGACTTTTTATACGTGCTCATTCAGGGATAAGTACTGGAAACGCGAAAGAGAAGAAAAGAGTTACTAGTTTCATTAAATATTTTCTTATGATGTTAATTTATAATATCAACTTTAATCACGAATCACCATTATAATGGGATTAAACATAGAACCCTTGTTTATATATTGGAGCAAGGGCAGATTTTCAATTTATGATGTATAATTGTATATTGTATTAAGCATACCATACTTGTATAATACAAGCAAATGTGTTTTTCACAAGTTGTTGCAAATGAATACTAATCTGGGACTGCAAAAATACTCGCTAAGCAGTAAAGAAGGGCAAAAAGGAATTAAAGTTGTTGCAAATGAATACTAATCTGGGACTGCAAAAATACTCGCTAAGCAGTAAAGAAGGGCAAAAAGGAATTATAGTCTGTCAGACAACCATGAGACCATCTTAAGCCTGAAAATCAGGTCTAAGATTTATCATCTACCGCAACCACGACTCTAGGAGCCATGGATGATGACTGTTAATCACGCTCTGGTCACATGGCCATGCTTCATCAACCAGACTTGGAATCCTGTCTCCTTAGAATATAAGGATAAGGTGGTACGAGCCTATAGAACAGATCCTGTTCAAGTAAGGTCGTGACATATCCTACTGGTACGAAGCATTATAAAGCTGGAGCTTATGTATTGCACTGCCGATGTGGGAGCAATATGTTGGCCCCTGACGCAGCGTCGCTGACTACTACGCAATCTCCAAGTCTCAAGTGCAACAAAAGCTTCGATGATTTTTGATTCATTACAGAAAACTAATTATACAATAAGGTATAAAGATCATTAATTTCGTAAACCAATTCCCAGTTGGAAGAACGGTTAATAACTGTGCTCAAAGTAGTAAACTAGAAATCCTTTTGAAGAAAATATATGCATATGCAGAGGAAGAAAAAAATCATTCAATTCCAATATAATAAGGGAAAACTCCTCAAATTCTTTGGAAAATTCACAACCTTTCAGAAATATCACTATCTTTCGAGTAAGTCACAATTTTTCAAAAATATCGAAATCCTTCTGAAAAGTCACAAAAAATGACAACCTTTCATTTTTTCATTGCACACCTTTTAAACCTCAATAAAAACCGAAGTAAACAGAATTCTCTGCCTACAATAAATTCAGTAGCAAAGCCTAATAGTTTCTCAGTATTTCATTCGACAATCAATCAAAACACCAGTAGAGATGGCCCGAACCAAAGTGAAAGTGAATAAACAGCAATACCATAAATCAAGAATGGCAGAGATCTCAAGGTCAATACAATCAAAGAAACAAATTATAACAAAAGTATTCGAAAAGGGTGATGAAGTTGAAGTGGGAAGTCACGAAGATGGATTCGAAGGTTCTTACTACAGAGCAACTATTCTTTCTATGTTTGACCCTAATCATTACATCGTCAAGTACAAAACTCTGTCAACTGATGATGAATCTGAACTGCTGGAGGAGGTGATCCCTACAATCGAGGTCCGCCCTGTTCCGCCTCATCGAGATGGAACAATGTCAGAACACGGATTCCGTTTATATGATATTGTAGATGTGTATGCCAATGACGGATGGTGGTTTGGATGCATCAGTGCCATAATTGGAGAAGAGTATTATGTCTATTTCCCTTCAACTGAAGATAGCATTGCATACCCTTCTCATGTCTTGAGATTTCATCAAGAATGGTCTAAATGCGGGTGGATATCTCTCATGTCATCATAAGATACGATTTTCAATGAATTCAGCAAATTATAATTTATCATTCTTTTATGTCGATTCACCAAATCGTTACATATGCTCATAAACATTTTTTAATTATTTTTCTCTCAATCCTAATCCTATTCTTTTTTCTTCTCTCCAGAATTGACACTTCAGACATTACCTCAGTGCAAGGGCGGTTGAACGTAATTGGGGCGTAAAGCGAAATTTTAATTCACGGCCTAAATATACTTTATATACGTATTTATTAAAAAAAATTACATTATTAAGATGAAAATTATTAGTACTTAATATTATTTTTTCGTTTTATGTAAGATTTTATAAACTCATCATTGAAAAACATCTTTAAGTGAGACAATTATTATTTGTATTGTTAACACAATGATACAAGTAATAAGTTGATAAATATTAAATAAAGATAAGAGTTAGAACCATAGAATTTGACTTAAAAAGTTGATGACTTGGTATACCTCATTTTAATATACTTAAAATAATGCTTGAAACTAAAATCTAAAAAGAAATAAAAAAAAATTTGTAATTCACTTTGTAACACTTTTCGCTGTTAATTTTCATTTTAACAAAGTACAAAAAATGTTAAGTAACTAAAATAATTTATTTTTTAAAAGAATTATACTTTTTATCATAAATAATTATTTTTTCTATAAAAATATTAACATATAATTTATTTTTAATAAAAATTTGAAGCCCCAAAATTTGGAGGCCTAAAACAAAGGCCTTATCTTTTAGTACATAGAATCGGCTGCCACAGTGAAGTGCAATCAATTAATGCAAAGTCATATATTTGTGAACAATGTTTTAAAAAACGGCTAGTACCAAAATCGCTTTTGGGACACAAATTGAAGGCGTAGATTTATAAGGCTTTTAATTTTTAGAGTTGTACACATCGGGCATTACTTATTTTTTTTTAAAGTTATATTTTCTTTTATTGGTGCAAAGATATTTATATTTTAGTTTTTCAGATTGTAGTAATTTTTCTATAATGGATGAATATTTTTTCATAGAAAATGACATTGCTATAAATAAATTTTAAATAATCATATAAAACCAGTAAGTTGAACGATTTTTTTAAAACTAGAAAGTTTACCGATATTTTGTTAAAACTCATAAGTTGGACGTTTTTTAAATTGATAAAACTAATTTACATTGAATGACTTTTTGCTAAAACTCGTTGAACGAGAGTTTGATAAAACTAAAAAGTGTAAACTATCATAAATGAAAAACAAAAGAAAATAGGAAAATAATGCCCATTAATCACCAAAGGTAACATAATTCTCTGCCTATAAATTGACTTGCAAAGCCTCACTTTCAATAATGTGTTTTCCAATGATGGATGGTGGTTTGGATTTATAAGTGGGATAATTGAAGAAAATTACGATGTCCATTTCCCTACAACTGGACAGGAAATTGCATATCCTTCGATTTCATCAAGAATGGTCTAATGACGATTGGGAAACCTGAAATGGCAAGGATGGATTTTCAATTTTATGCTGATCTTGATTTCATGAAATTCTTGATTAATTTACCCAATGCAATTCATGTTTAGTTAGTTGCATATTGTTATATTGCTGATTAAGAATTTTCATATGCTAAACATATAATTTCTAGCCTTGCATTGTGGTATTTTATATTATTAAACTCTTTACATTTTTGTTTTTCTAAGGTAGCTCGAATTCAAACATAAATGGACACAAATTCATGATATTTTAAAAATATAAGCGTAAAATTACTAGTCACTCTAAAATGATAATGTAGATCGACGCTAAGTGATATGAAATAGCTCCATCACAATTTTTTATACCTTGCAATAGCTCAAGTACCTAATAAATTAGGAAAGTTAGAAAATAATTTAACAAATATAAAAATAGGAAATAACTCATTCCAGGAAAAACCAAAAGAAAACAGGAAACAGTTTTCTCTGCCTTTAAATTCAGTAGTAAATCCTCATAGTTTGTCAATTTTTTCATTGAATTGAATCAAACAATCAATCAGTTGAATCTGCAAAATGGCCTCAATCAATGTGACAGAAATGAACTCAGTGCAACTCCATCAATCAAGAATGGCGATGCTCTCAGAGTCAATCAAATCGATTGCATTCAAGAAACAACAGATAACGAAAGAATACGAAAAGGGTGATGAAGTTGAAGTGGCAAGTCAAGAATTGGGCTTCATAGGCTCTTACTACGCAGCAACTATTATTTGTTCCACTGGCGACGATTACTACAGAATCAAGTACAAGACTCTGTTGACAGATGATGAATCTGAGCCACTAGAGGATGTTTTCTCTGCAACCGAGCTCCGCCCTGTTCCACCTCATCAACATGAAAAAATTCCAGAAAACGGATTCCGTCTATACGATATGGTTGATGTATTTGACAACGATGGATGGTGGTTTGGATTTATCAGTGCGAGAGTTGGAGATGAGTACTATGTCTACTTCCCTACAACTGCAGATAACATTGCATATCCTCCTCATCTGTTGAGAATTCATCAAGAATGGTCTAATGGCAAGTGGATATTTCTTCCATGACAGTGAAGGATTTTTGACTTGCACTGATCTTTTGATTTCAAGAAATTCTTGATTTACTGTAATTTGATATGAATGTGACTTAGCTTATTGATCAGTCTCTTTATCCCAATTCATCAAGTTTAGTTGCAAATTGTTATATTGATGATTATGATTTCAATATGCTGTAATCTGTATAGTGAGAAACGAGAATATATGAACTTGTTACTCTGTTTTTTAGTTGAATTGTGCTGTATAATAAGATGCATTACTTTTCTGTCATAATAAATAAATTGGTGATATGCCCATATCCTGGTTTATATCTACAGGATTGAGATATTCTTGAATACAGTCTAATGTGAAATCTTGAATATATAGCTGCAATCAGAAACTGGAAAAGAAACAAAAAAAGGGAAGAATGAAATTGAGTTGAAAATCTAATGGAAAATTATTCATCACAGAGCTTGTAGAGAATTCTTGAAAGTTTGAGACATGTCAAAGACACCATTTTAAAACTCTGTATGTCATAATTTAACAAATTCTTCTAATATAGAACTAAATCTCTTATCTTCCCATGAAAAAATAATATAAGTATATATAGGTCTGAAGAACTCAGATGATCACAAGAGTTACAAAGCTAAAAAATTGCTGCAGTTTGGAAAAAGGATTAATGGCTCAAGAATTTAGTTATAAGAAAGTATAACTAGCCCCTTAAACATTTGTAGATGCTGAAAATTGTATACTTGGACCTATTGAGATACATATTATGTCCTTTTGGTTCACCTCAGCTAAATAGTAAATACTTGCTGACTATACTGACCTTGACCAACACGATACTATCATTACGATTTCTCCAACTCTGTTGGGCTTCAAATTGACGATATCCATTGGCAAAAATAAAGTCGAGTCTGTCAGACAGCCACGAGACCATCCTAGGTCTGAAAATCAGGTCTAAGAACGATCATCAACTGCATCCACGGCTCGAGGAGCTATGGAAGGCATTAATCACGCTCTGGTCACATGGCCATGCTTCATCAACCAGACTAGAATTCCTGTCTCCTTAGAATTTAAGGATACAATGGTACGAGCCTATAGAACAGATCCTGTTCAAGTAAGGTCGTGACATATGCTACTTGTATGAAGCCTCATAAAGCTGGATTTTATGTGTTGCACTGCCGATGTGGGAACAATTTATTGGCCCCTGACACATTGAATAAAATTTGTCAGATTTCAATTTTTGAATGGTTATAGAAAAAATAATAATTATGCATTAATTTTTTTTAAACGTGTGGACAGTTAATTTTGTAAAAACCGTTCCAATACCCAGTAGGAAAAACGCCATAGCAGCAGTTGCCATGAACTCCAAAATAATTAGGAAAGAAAAAATTAAAAAGAATTGGAAATTTCCTATTCCGAGTTATTTAAAGGAAAACCAAAAGAAAAATCGGAAAACAATTCCAGGAAACGAGAATTCTCTGCCTATAAATTCACTTGTATAGTTTCTCATTCAATTCAATCTTCAGTAGAGTCTGAAAATAATGGCTCCAATCGAAGTGACAGAAATCAATTCAGAGGAACGCCACACAATGCTCTCAGAGTATATAAAATCAATAGCATTCGAGATAACAAAAGTATTCCAAAAGAGGGATGAAGTTGAAGTGGCAAGTCAAGTATATGGCTTCATAGGTTCTTACTATGATGCAGCTATTCTTTCTCCTGTTGGCGCTTACCATTACAAAATCAAGTATAAGAATCTGTTGACTGTTGATGAATCAGCGCCCTGGAAGAGATGGTCAGTGCAGCACTGATCCGCCCTGTTCCCTATCAGAAAGCGGATTCCGTCTGTATGATATGGTTGATGTGTTTGCCAACGATGGATGGTGGTTTGGATTTATCAGTGGGAAAATTGGAGAAGAGTACTATGTCTACTTCCCTACAACTGCAGATAACATTGCATATCCTCGCGATGTACTGAGATTTCATCAAGAATGGTCTAATGGCAAATGGATATTTCTTCCAATGGAACACTTTTACTTATATAATAATCGTTTATTATACATTTTTTGATAATCAATAAAAAATGCGAAGAGTGTGTGATACACTTGCGGTGATGTGACACAATAAATAATTAAAAATAACATTTGGCATTGGGCTCAAAAATTATGAAAAAAACACACATTTAATATCTAATTTTTAAAAAATAAAAATGTCAACCTATTCTATCCCATCTTACCCCACTCCAGCCTAACCCCCTTTCATCTTCACCTTCTTCCCCAAAACACATTCTTTCTCAAATTTACAAAATCTTATTCTTTTCAAATAACTTCAACATTAATTTTTTTTCATACTAAGAGTGAAGAAGAAAGAAAAGTTTGTTGGTGGTTATTCAACTCTACATCGACGACAAAATGAAATTGATAGCTCCAAAATTATTTTTTTCAAAATTTTTATATCATTTTTGATAAATTTAATGACCACATATGAATTTGAGTAAAAATCTTTGTTCGAAAATTATGATCAATAAATATCGGTCAACTATTTTTATACGTAAAAATCATTTATCTTTGTTCATCTTCTTCATACTTGATCCTTGTTTTTATAAGATTTGAAATAAATCATACGAAGACTTTCTTTCAAATCTGAATCTTTATAGTTGATTTTCATTTATCTTCATATTTGGAAGATATAATTTTTTTGTATATAAAAAAAGAACAAAAAACTGTTAGAGCTAAAATGAAGAAAGTTTTGTAACTAAATTATGAAGAAGATGATAAATAGGGATTGGAGTGTTTTTTTTTTTGAAAAAAGTGTAAATAAAGAAGAAAATATTTTTTAAGTTAATTATAATGTCAATTGTCAATAAAAGAAGAAAAAATATAAAATAAAATAAAATAGACACTATTTTAAGTCTTTTCACGCGCTTCATGGATGTGCAATACACATTTTTTGTCATATCGACATTTTATGTCTAATAGGTATATATTTTGAACAATTTAAGTGTTCAATAGATACAAATCTCAATTAAAATGTCTAAGTGAATTATGCGGAAAATTTTGAGGAGCAGTATAGGACTTAAATTTTATATCATAAAATACAGTATACACAATACACAAAAAAAAAATGCAGTCAATGCAAGGACCAAAAAGAAAAAAAGAAAAGAAGGAGAATTTGGTCATTTCGGAGTAGATGAGAAGAAAAGAACCTTGTTCGACTTTGTCAATACGAAGAAGAAAAGAAAAAATTACACCAAAAAAGAGCAAAAATGGCGTTGCAATGGATGATATTGACGTACGTGGTGGCAGCAGAGGCAGCAATAGCTATTCTGCTAACATTGCCATCTCCTAAACCTCTCAAATCTCGTTTTGTTTCACTAATTTCACTTGCCCTTCAACCCTCTCTTTTCGTCGTCCCTTTCTCTGTTTTTCAGCTCCTCGGTACTTCATTTCTGTTTGCTACTTCCTTATTTCTTATAATTATGTGATATTGAGACTTAATTTTTGTTTTTGTTCTTCTTCTCTTAGATATTTATTGGAAAAATGAGCATCGATTGATGTGTACGGGTGAGATTTGCACAGCTTCCGAGAGGGACCGCTATGAGAAATCGGTAAATTTTTCTTTTCCCCCTTTTTCGGGAACGATTTTATTTATAGTAATTTTTACTGAGTGAGTTTAAATTGTGTTGAAAAGGAAAATTGGTCCTACAGTGCCATTTCAACTGAATTCTGTGATTGATAACCAATTAGTTTCTACAATTTTCATGGAGACAAGATTTGCTTGATAACCCTGTGTTGCTTGTACCTAGATGTGGAGTTCAGTTTGAGTTGTTTAGGTGTTTGATTTACTGAAGACTGCAAGTTTAGGATTGAGATATAACTAAATTGTTATACACCTGTGTGCAAAATGGCTAATAAAGCATGATACTTAGGTTGCATATGCGTGATATTTGATTGTCATTCGTTAGAATTAGAAAAGATTTTGGATTTTCAAGTAAATCATTTGCAGTTTAAGAAGTTCGACTTTAAGTATATATTACTACTTCTTGGCTGTGTGAGTTTAGCAATAGTCATTCGTTAGAATAAGTCTTATTTTTTGTGTTCTAGTTGGTGATGCACTAAGGGTAATGCAGTTGTATATATTTTTCACTTAGAGGCAAGTTCGATGCTGGTGCTAGAAAAAGGGCAAAACCAGAAGTGTTTTTTTGTAGTCTGGCCATGAACTTATCTAGTGATGAACTGGTGATAGTCGGACATATATAAGATATCAGGTCTATTAGGAAAGGGAAGTTTTCCGTAGTTTAAGGGAACCACAAATAGGTAAAATAAACAGAAAGTAAGATAAGTTCCTAACAAATCAAGGAATGAAGGTAGTGATCATAACTTATTTTCATTTAGGGGAAGTGCTTAGTTTTTCATCAATTTATATAGCCTAATACCAATGCATCAAGCTGAAGGAAACCTTCAACTCAATTTCTTGATTGTTTGGTTGAAATTTCGGTACCACTTCAGAAATGAAGCAGCTGAAGGAACAACTGTTACTAGTCTAGTTCTGTGTTTTCAGAAAGGTGTGGCTGGCTACTGTTCTAAAGCGACTGCACCATTTTGCAAGTCTTCTGTATTTTGTTCTAACGCATCATCTAGCATGTTCGATGAAGACTACTGCACAAACATGTTTACTTCTTTAACATTATTAAAGTGGGGAAAATAGAGCATTTCAGTTGCAGGACCTCTTGTTTTTATTCAAGTACCTCAGTGGTGGCATTATGGTGAGACTGAGATCAATTAATGGCTGCTATTGGACAAGTGGATCAACCCTCTTCTTTTGTGTCCATGGATCAAATTTGTGTGATATGTTAAACGTACTGTAAATAAGAAATGGTCCTAATATTAAGTTTTTACCGGATGTCCCTGAAGGGACAGTCCCCAGATTAAGTTCATATCCTGTGATATGTAGAATCGCCTTGATCTGCAAACGTCAGTCTAGTTGTAGAGTACAAAATATTAAAGTTGGTAAATGCTGAATACTGAATTCCTGAGCTATATACCCTTGCATTTTCCGGATAATTGGGGAAATGTGCTGTGTGATGCATCGATTCCACTTGTTCTCTGTTTTTTTTCCCTTTGTTCTTGCACAGACATAGAAGCACATTGATGTTATGTATCTAGCTTATGACTTCCTTTTCGCTTCTGTTTGTGTCTCCTCTCATGTTACGCAGATCTACAAGGCTCAAAGAAATGTGATCCTATGTTTAGCGGCATGCCTTCTCTACTGGTACATCAACAGAATCATTGTGTCCCTTATATGTAATTTTACTTTCGAAATGTCTCTCTTTTATAATTTAATGCATTAACAATGTGCTCTTTTATGTGTGTAAAGGTGTATCTATCGTGTTTGCAAGTACTACAAGGAGATACAGAGCATTGAAGAAGTAGAAAAGAGATACAAAGACCAGTAGCTGTCTATCTATGCACCAATCATATTATTCAAGGCTACTTGTAGCTGAAGTAACATCTACACCATGCAATGTTAACATATTATGAGTCTTGTGTTTGCTTTACAAGCCATCATTATGAATCTTTTACTACTACATATTGAAAAGAGTTTGCGAAAGAGAAGAAAGTCTTAACAATATATGGAAATTTCTTTATAATTCACTTTCCAAAATCTTTGTTTACCAATCAGTACATTCCAATATCACAGGGTGAAATATAAAAGCCACAAGAAACAGGCCCAGAAACACCAAAAAAAAAAATCTACTATGACATTTTTGCTACAGAAAGAATCAAGCAGTGTGCCTCTTCTTCTTCTTTGTCTTCAACCTATCACATAAGAAAGTTTTCTCTAATTGATCCACTCTCTGTGCCAGCGAATTCAGCATTCGTGTTTGTAGTTCATTTTTGTGGCACAGTTCAGTCATCATTCTCATCATATTCTCATTCTTCTCCACCATTTTCTCCAACAACTCTCGGTTTCTTCTACTCTCTTCTCCCCCTTCAAACTTGTGTGACCTTGTTTCATTCTCATTCTCATTCTCATTCACATCCTCAACTACTTCGATCAAATCCCCAACTTCACCTCTCTCCACACTTTCCTCCACACATTCGAGCATTGGACAGTCCGTTTCCTGCTTCACCTCCTGCAATCCTCCACGCTTCTCATTCAGCGGTGCTACATCGTGTTCACCCTCTATGGGTGTTTTCTCATCATTTGATGCTGCTTGAGTTTCTACATCCACACTCTGCTCTGACAGATGACAAAGTTCATTCTGATTTGTCAATTTTCCATCTTCATCCTGTTTTCCTGTTGAATTGGGGATGTCTCCGGTCTGATTGACTGGTTCAGAGAGTTCATCGGATTGATTCTCCTCTTCAGCTGCAATTTGATTTGCAGCAGCAACAATGCAGTCGACTTTCTCTTGCAAATAGATGGCCTTTCTAATCACAGCCTTTCTGCACTCCCTAACACCGGAATCAACTCCACGAATGGAGTCCAACTTGAAAAGCAGAGACATCAGCGTCTCATTCACCCGCAACCTTTCCCTTTCATCTCTACAAATCAACTCCGCCGTTTCTCTACACAAAAGCTTCCGCTCAACATCTTCCACCTCTTTTCGTATCAACTTGATTTTCTTCACGCTTTTTCTCACCAAAAAGCCTCTGAATACCTTCTGGATCTTCAACGCTGAACCGGACCTATCCGGCTCAGGTTTCTTTGTCGCCGAGGCCAAAACGGACCGCTCGGGATCCGAACTAACGAAATGGACCGGAATCTGAACAACCTTGGAGGCCTGCTTGATTCCGGCAGGTTTCTGGTGAATCGATTGCACTGGAATTCCTCTCATGTTTGAGGAATAGCCAGGGCGAGCTGACTGGGGCCAATAGCTTCCGTATAATGGATACTCCATTGTTAACTTTGATCGCTTTGTTGAGATATATATTGATCGCTAATGAAGTCTGAAGTTTTTGTTGTATATGCAATGAGAGAAGCTGTGAAGCTTTCTGGTATTTATGCGGTTGAGAAAGAAACTCAACTGAATTTTCCAGAAGGTTCAGGAATTTTTGGAAGGGCACAAAAATATCTTAGCTTTCGCTAGAGTGATGTAGAATGTTCTATCTCTCTATAATTCAATTAAAACATGTCTTTAACCAATTAATTAAATATAGAAAAATTTTAAAAATATTTTCCTTTCGTATCAAATACGCTCTTAATTAAAAAAATAATAATATTGAAACTCAATCACTTATTTTGCATTTTTTATGTTGAGTTCTATTTTTCAAACATATTATATTGGATCCTTATATACGAGAGCGGTGTGCATTATTTTGATTAAATTGAATTTTAATTTGGATTGAATTTTTGAATTCTTGAATTTATTTTGCATTTATAATTTACTTTGTTTGATTTTTTGATTTGGTCTCGATTTTTAGAAAAATAAAAATCGAAAAATTTAAAAAATCGAATTATATTATATAAATTATATATATACTGTACATATTAAATTGAAGTTAATCAATTTTGTCCCTTTTTAGTTATTTTTATTATAATTTAGTTTATTTTCTTATATTTGATCATCTATAATTGATATACTTTTAAGTATTGTGATTTACGTTTTACTTGTGATTTATATTTAAAAAGTATATTTAAGAAAGTCAATTTATATATATATATATATATATATATATATAAATTTAAATTGTAAATAATTGTTATATTTCTTATTGACATAACCAATTAACCAAATCGAAAAAACTCAAACAAAAAAGAGAAAAAACAAAGCAAATCGAATTTATTTGATTTGGATTGGGTTACACTTCTTCAAAAATAAAAATCAAAAGTTTAAATCGAATAATATAAAATGAACCAAAAAATCGAATGTACACCCTTAAATATGACTAACGAAAAAAAAATCTTAGATTATTGACGATCACTCAGAGGTAAAATAATGTATTAAAACAATCAATCCAATCAATTAAATAAATTTAGTTTCTTAAATATTAAATGTGTATTACGGAAATTATTGTCCAGTCACATTTTTGGCATAGTTGACTGCAGATTATATTTATGGCTTCAATTTTCTTAAGTTATTAACTTCTTCGCATGTTAATAAAAACAATTATAATTTATATATAAATATAAACATGCATTTATTAATTTTACTATTTCAAATTTAATTGTAACGTAATGTACCTCTAATTAATTCGATCAAACATAAAGTTTTCATTTAATTCATATCTAATTACCTTCAAATTCATATATCTTACCATATCGTTTTATTAGGATTTATATTCAATTTTTTAAAGAGAGAATTTTTACAGTCGAGTTAAAATAGTTTTTTCATTATTACAAATAAAAATATCAATATTCATCTTTTCTTGATTCGATTTATCTCAATCTATTCTTATCGTACCTCTAAATTCGGCCAAAACATAAGGTTTTCAAGAATATTTCATTCTATTCCATTGCTTATACCTATTCTCGAGCTTTCCCACTCATACTCCCACTTCGATTCCCATTTTCTTCCTATAAATACTTCATTCATTAAATTTATATTCGTCAAATTACATTTACTTAGTATATTCAAATACCAAAAAGAGAAAAAAAATCAAAAAAAAAAGGAGGTTGGGACTGAAGTATAACAATTTGTGCTTCTTTCTCAATTTCCTTTGTTGTCAAATCCTAATACAGAACCATGGCTAAATTTTCCAAAAATTCCATGGTTCTGTGCTTTTTGGTAGCCATTGTTTTTGTTATCTCTAGTGCAAGTGCATCTACTAGGCTTAAGAAATTTAATCACCCTACTAAAGGTGATGGTACTCTTAATTTCTTGGTTATTGGTGACTGGGGACGAAGGGGTACTTATAATCAATCTCACGTAGCTCGCCACGTAAATACCATTTCTCTTTTATTCGTCTTTCGTCAATTTTATTAATGAATCGTGTGATTAACTCATTTAAAAACTTATATACAGATGGAAAGAGTCGGAGAGAAGTTAGACATTGATTTTGTATTATCAACGGGTGACAATTTCTATGATAATGGTTTAACAGGAGTAAATGATACAAATTTCGTAGAGTCATTTACTAACATATACACAGCAAAGAGCTTACAAAAACAATGGTACAGCGGTACGTTTCTCAAAATAAGTACAATTTTATTTTTTACTAGAGCTGTAATTATAGATTGGTCTAGCCTATATTGACAGTTCTAATTATAACTTTTGTTTTTGCGCAGTATTAGGCAACCACGATTACAGAGGAAACGTAGAAGCACAACTCAGTCCTTACCTTAGGAAAATTGATAGCAGATGGATTTGTTTAAGGTCTTTTGTAGTTAACGCAGGTACAAATTGATCTCTTGTTAAATAATTTAATCAATTTTATATATTCGTCGTTCTGATTTTGATTGTTTGAAGAAATTGCTGAAATATTCATGGTGGATACAACTCCATTTGAGGAGAAATATTTCACAACTCCTAAGGATCACATCTACGATTGGCGTGGTGTGCTCCCTAGACATGCATACATGGCTAGCGTAGTAAAAGTAAGTTCAATGTAGACTTCATCAATATTTGTCTAAAAATCATTTATCGTACATTTTAATTTCAAATGATCTATTATTTTTTTTAATAGGAACTCGAAAAGGCCTTGAGTGAATCGACAGCAACATGGAAGATTGTACTAGGTCACCATGCCATTAGAAGTGCAGGACATCACGGTGACACTCAGATACTTGTGGATCGTTTTCTTCCTATTCTTAGGGTAAACTTTTTTCTCTGTTTCATTCACATTCCTTTTGACTTGAAATGTGCTTATAACGTTATTGATTTGCCTTACAGAAGTACGATGTTGATTTTTACATGAACGGACATGACCACTGTCTTGAACATATTAGCGACACTGAAAGGTGAAACTAGACTTCAAAATGTTGCAAAATGACTTTAATTTTAGCAAACATGATGTTGATTTTTGTGTTTGATGTTTGTAGCCCGTTGCAATTTTTAGTAAGTGGAGCAGGTTCAAAGGCATGGAGAGGAGATATTAAAGGAATAAATAGAGATGATGTGCATTTTTTCCATGATGGACAAGGTTTCATGTCTGTTGAGTTGACACCGACAGAGGCTGAGATCAAATATTATGATGTTTTTGGTAGAATTAGACATAGGTGGAGTAGGTCCAAGAATCTTCTTCACTCTGCTATGTAAAAAAAAAAAGAATCTTTTTTGGTTGTAGATACTAAGTTAGATGTAGAAAAGAAATTGGATTCTTTGTTTTTTGTTGTTGAGATTGGATTGTGAAAGGAAGTAAATCTCACACATTTAGGGTTCGTTTGGGTTCAATGTATTAGAATTTAGATGGAATAACATATGACAGTTTTGCTCATGTTTGATTAGTATTTTGAAACCTACATTGCAAATCTGCAATCTGGTATAATCTAATACACAAATGAGTACACACTATCAGTGTAAAAGATTTTTACAATACCTCTCCTCTGTCCTTAATTACTTGTCTATTTTTCCATCTCTAATTAGCACACCTATTAATAACTTTGAAAAAGGAACAACTTTTTAAAAATCTTTAGTTTTTAATTCATCTACTTCATAATTATTAGGGGTAAACTCGTTGTATCAATTATTGTTTTCTTAATAGGTGTGCTAATCTAAAAGTGGACAAGTAAGTAGGGTATAAAAAAACGAGAAGAGAGATTAATCTGGCCAATCAATATGTATCATTCGTTATCAATTCCCTTGTTGGAAAATTAATCCACAATAAATATATATTGCATGCTTTCTGTAATTTCCAATGTTCTTTGAGATACTATTGCTCTCTAGATATATATATAGCTCACATCTGTTTGTTTATTTCTTGCAAGCAGTTCTAAATTAATTTTTTGCTGCTGTTGCTTCACAAATATGACAGCGTCTAAGGTTACAATGAAGCTATTGATAGACAGCAAAAGCAAAAAAGTAATGTTTGCTGAGGCTGGGAAGGAATGTATTGATTTCCTATTTCACATTTTGGCATTGCCAATAGGCAGTGTCATTAGGCTTCTCACTACTGAAGGAATGGTTGGATGCTTAGGGAACTTGTATGATAGCCTTCAGAATCTTGACAATATATACATTCAACCAAATCAGAAAAAGGACACTCTTTTAAAACCAAAATCAGCAGCATCAGTACCTCTGTTATTGATCAACAACTCCCCTGTTCAAAAACAGTTTAATAGGTGCTCTAACCACTATGATCATGTAACCGATGATCCACGATCACATTGCCCTAGTCCAAGTGGTCCATTTCCAGTATGTGCTCATACTATGAATACAAATATGACCTACGTTGCGCCCCCGGTAGAAAATGTGGCAGCATCCGATAAGGGATTAGTAAAGGGGGTTGTTACTTACATGGTGTTGGATGACTTGGTTGTGAAGCCTATGTCTACTATTTCAAGTGGTTGACACCCAATTTTGACCATCTCCGATAGAAATTAATTCATGTGCTTCTTAAATTTTCCAAGCAATTTAAAATAATTAGTTTTATAAATTTTTAAGAAAAAAATAAAGTTTGTGTTATTTTGAATAGTTTTGTCATTTCTTATAACTTTTGAATAATATATATATATTACATAATTATGTATATAATTAGTATATTTTATGATTATTCAAAAAAAAACCATCTCAAAAATATTTTAATTTTAGTAAGTATTCTATTTAGCTAATATAGTTTAAATTATGGTTATATTTTGAACCACTATTTTATAATTTATTATATTACTAAATTAAAGAAGCTCGTTGATTAATTAATACAAATTCGTTTTATTTAAGGTTTAGCCGAATTTATTATCTTAACTCAATTTGGCTATTTATCAAATTTAACCCATTCTTTAAATCCACCAAAAGATCTTAGTTTTGGGCCATTTACACACTCCCTTTAATTTCCAGGCCCATTTGTATTTCTTCTTCTCCCAGCCCACTTCAGCAACCCAACACTTCTCCCAAACCCCAAGCCTAATAAATTTCCAACCCACCTCATTCCCTTCCAGGCCCACTTTATTTTCAGACACCCGGGCCCAATTACATGGCCCATTTCGTTTTAATTAATTTCCAACCCAATTCCCTTTTTCCCTTTCCCTCCAACCTTTCAAAATTCAAAATTCAAAATTCAAATTCTAACAAATTTCCCCCTCTTTTTGCCATAATTTGGCTTATAAATAATCCTCATCTTCTTTATTGTTAGGGGTTGGTGGAGAGAAAGAAGAAAAGAGGGAGAAAGAAAAAGAGAAGAAAAAAAAGAAAGGGATGGTTTTTGGAGAGAATTTTTTTTTTACATCTTGTGATAGAAAAGAAAAGAATTATTGAAAGAGTTTATTCATAGGAAGATTTTACAATAGTTTAAGCACACCTATATATCTATTGAAGTTGAATTAAAAACAGAAGGATTGTGAGGTTTTTGATTATCATTTGAATTCGAAGTTGTGTAGTGGAAGGTCATCCCTTTGCTCGTTTCGTCTCTAACTCGCTGCCCCGAAGAAGGTGAAATCCCTTTTTTTTTTCTTTTTAGATGTTGTCATTCCACCTTGCTAACTATTTTTTTTTGTTTTGTTTTCTTGTGTGACATCGATTCGAGTCCATTTTGGATTCCATTCTTGCATTCCTCGTTGAGCCATAAAGGCTCAAAACACTTTTCCCGAGTCAGCCAACCCCCTGAAAGGATGTACAGGTCGAAAGCAAAACCATTGGAGAGCTGCTGGAAGTAGCGGATTGCAGGCATTTGGCTGCGATTTTTGTTTTGAAGTTGTGTATCTGGTTTATACACAATATATACACTGTGATACAGGTCAAAAATCCACAGGAGGCCCAAATTCAAAATCTGAATTGATGACAGGAAAATTGCGTTTCTGGAAAGGAGTTTTCAACTTCCGAAAGTTGAAAAACAGGCTTATATACAGCCTGTATACACAGATATACAGAGATGATATACTATATATATGCTCAAAAAATATGATTGGCAGGGGAACGTACACGGATGCTTGTTTTAACTAAAATTCGGGATTAGGCAATTAATACGGACGCAGGGTGCAGCCCGTATACATTAGTATACATTATCGGGCGACGATATATAATTGTTAAACAGGTTTAAAAAATGATACAGGTACAAATATGCAGAGACGATATGCGAAATATAGGGGAAATAGCTGAAAATGCGTATATAAATAAATGCAGGGCTCAAAAGGTCCAAAATGGATGCTGATATACACCGTATACAACAGTATACATCTTTTGTATACTTTATATCTCCTTTTTCAGGAAATTGGGCTAAGGCCCTTCAGTTCCCTTTTATCAACAGGCCCAATAACCATTTGTTTTTACAGGTTTTTTTTTTAAAAAAAGGGCCCAAATCTAAGTAAATAGATTATGACAGGTGGGCCAAAGCCCAATTGGATGGATTTGGGCAATCAAACCCAAGTTCAAATATTTTTCTCTCTTTATTTATTATTTGTTTGAATTAATTAGTGTTTTGGTAGAATTTTAATAATCTCCTAAAGAGTAGCCATTTTTCATTATTTTAAATTTTACTATTTTATTCACTTTTATCACCATTTAGTTTTCCTTAAATTAATTCCTCTAAACATTTCCCTTTAGAAAAAAAAAGTAAAAAGAATGAAATACAAAATATCAAAATGAATTTTCTCTTTTACTTAGTTAAAAATTTTTATTTTAAAAGTCATTTAGTCAAATCGCCGGTCAACCGCAAGTTAGCGGGCATCCCGAGGGCCTAACACCTTCTCGGAGATGTACATTGAAGTTCGAACCCTTTTCAATTGATTTTTAATCTGTTTTTTAAATCTTTTGAAGTTTTTCTTGATTTTATCAAAAATCAAGTGGCGACTCCAATTTTGAAGGTCGGTTTTTCTTAAACAATAAGATTAATTGATTTTTCGAAACCTAGTCAATTTTTTCTCATTTCTCCCATTAAACATAAACAGTAGTATTTTTTTAAGTGAAACATCAAGTATTACTTTGCTCAACCAATTCAGTATTAAGGATGTTGGGGTTCTTAAAGAGAAAGTTGTTACTTTGGGAATGGATGAGGTATACAAACTTTGTGTTCCAACAACTATTTTGTTACATTTTTTGTTGCAAATATCAGAGACAACATCTTATATTATTTGCTTGTTGTTCAGGCTTTGAAGCTGTTGAAGACTTCTCTGCAGTCCAAGAGTGTGTTGACCAGTGTTTTCATGGACAACATAAATGAATAATTCTCCTGTTTGTTCTGCAATATTTTGCTCTACTTTTCCTATGTTGTTCTAGATGGTGTCTTTTGCTTGGTTTATCTGTCTATGATGAAGTGGAATTATCTACTTTTATATTAAGTTCAAAATCTTGTCTTTTGTGGAACAGTTCTTGGTTTCTTGGATGCTTTTGCTTATTAGGTAAGCTCCACTTCGATGGAAGTGAAGAGTTCTTGCTATGTATGTTTAGTTTGTTATTAAAATAGATATCACTGTTATATTTTTTGGTATATATATTCTAGTTTTGGAACGGTAGGAACATCAATATTCCTAAATTATGACGGAGCGTATCTGCATACGATTTACGACAGTTAGGAAATATATTTATCCTTTTTCCCTTTATTTTTCTATTGAGTTTATTTTCTTTGTCTTCTGTTTTAATTTTGTTTCGGATGTCTTGTATTTAAAATAAGTTAATTTTGAAAGGATATAAAAATAAGTGAAGAAAATCAAATAGAACACAAAATATTAATACATAAAATAAAGGATACTTTTAAATTGTTTTTTTAAAAATATACATAATTTGTTTAATTAAAAGAGAAAAGATAATAAGTTAATTTAAAAATTAAAGTGAAAAGAAATTAAAATAAATATTTTATAAAGAAAGATATAAAATCAATGAAATATATGAGTTTTATTATCAATAAATATTTGTACTAACCAATTATAAAGTTATGGGATAATGTATAAGTATCCCTCAACCTATGCTCGAAATGTCAGAGACACACTTATACTATAATAAAGTCTTATTACGCCCTGAAGTTATTTTATTAGTAATTTTCCATTCTTTTTAGCCTAGGTGATACTATTTTGTGGGTCCAATGCTGATTGACTTTTTTTTTCAAGCTTAGTGTCACATAGCCGAAAAAAATAGAAAATTACTTATAAAATAAATTCGGGGGTAATAGAACCTTAGTATAGTATAAGTGTGTTTTTGGCATTTTGAGCATAGGTTGAGGGGATATTTATGTATTTTTTTCTAAAATTATCAATAAAAAAATGACATGTGTCCAATTTGTGCACTCATCACTTGTCCTCAAAAGAGTGTCACATGTCAGCGTTTGTGGTGTATTTATTTCATTTTAAATTAGTTTAACGGGTAATAGAATTCTACTTAGTTTTTTGTGTGCCTCTGAAATTTTGATCATAATTTAGAAGGTACTTATGCATTTTTTAACATAATTAGATTTTCTTTTTTAAAAAAAAAAAAAGAAAAAGAAAGATATTTACATGTTATTATTATCAAATAATAATAATTAAACTATAAAAATAATACTATAATAATAATAATTTAAGTAATTAAAAAATAATGTGACACTTTTCTTAGTCCAGCATTGATATATATTTTTTTTTGTTATTGGTAATTTCTCCTATAAGTTTCTTTAACTTAATTTTACAAAAAAAAATTTAAGGTAATCTATCAATCTTTAATAGAATAATTATTTACATTTAATATTATTGAATTTAAAAAGAGATCAAGCAAGATATTTATCTAATTTTTAAAGTTTTTTCTTGCATTATAATTAAAAAAATTGTTGAATCCTAGATATAAAAAAAATTGTCATTACATTTCAGTAAGTAAGGCTATAACTACAACGCAATTTCAAACATTAATTCTATAATTGTTTATTTTCTTATACGTATCATTCTCTCCATAATAGCATCATTAAGAGAAGGAATCATTACTAATTTAAAAATTTAAAAGTCACGATATTTAATATATATTATGGAATGAGTACTTGAATTAACTTATTTTTTCCTTTTTTATTAAGTTTTTGAACAAGTTTGAGAATACAAAACGTGCTTAATTGAAAAAAAAATAAAAAAATCAAAAGCCAAAAGTTGAGTGACGAGTGTTTCCAACTTTTGTCTTCGTTTACAAATAACTTCAAAAATCAATCTAAAACACTCCCTTATACTTAAATTAGACACAGGTGTCCGTGTAGATCAATGCTATTTATTTAATTTTAATATATCTGATATAGATAGAATTTTAAACTTAAACAAATTTTAATATAATATTTAGATATTTTAAATTGCTAATTACTTTTTATTTGCGCAAATTCAATATGAAATGGTCCTTTAAATGTCCACAATTAAATTATTTTTCATTGTCGATCGTTGATTTTTACTCAAGATAGTTACAACATATAAACAATATTATCGACATTCAAGATAATAAAACTATAACTAAAGAATATAAATTTAAAACTAAAAGTCATAACTAAAATAGATTCAATTTTTCGAAACATGCTGAAGCAAACACGTCTTCTACAACGTGAACTCTCTCTTATATAATAAGAGGATAAGTAAAACAAATTAGATAATTTTAAAAGAATAATTTCTTTAATTTTTTTAAAACACACTAAAGATGTACCTGCTTGAGCGTAAACTCTCTTATATGATAAGCGAAAGCCAAGAACCTGTATTGAAAATAAGCAAACAACATTTGAAAATTATATCGAAGTTCTATAATTTTCAAAGGTTTTTATGGTCCCATATTCATAATATAAATATTTCTTTTTGATTTTTTTAATTATGTCCTTACTTACTTTACTTTACTATAATTAA